AGTCGTGATGATACTCTTTGGTTGGACCATCCACAGTTTATACAAAACAAGAGGAATTTTCGTACACAATAGCAATTGATTTGACAATTGCTTTCTGTTTAGAAGTCTTCAGCTCTTCAATTATTCTTTAGGGCTAGAATTTTGTGGTGTGGTTGATCTGCCCTTGCAAAAACCATTTTGGTTACTTCAGAGGCTTTGCGGGGAAAAAATATATCATCAAGGTTTGTATCTTGATACGCGCTGTTCGACAATACTATGAATAATTTTTAAAAATTGAAATTACTTAATATTTATTTGTTTTCACCTTAGGGAATCATAAATCTTGGCACAGCTGAAAATAAACTGATGTTTGATGTTCTTTCTAAGAAGGTATCGTTTAAAAAACATTTGAAAACTCCTTTGTTCTGTAACTAATTTAGATCATTTTGTATATAATATGCATCTGCTGAATTTTTTAACCTACTGTCCATTCAATCAAATTTATATAAAAAAAGTAAAGTTAAAACTTAATTGTACCTTGGATTTGTACATTTATTTTATTTATTCATATGTTTTTATTTTGTATTAATGTTTAGTTTAGTGAGCCTGAATTAAATGTGTGGAAAGAAGAAATGCTGATGTATTGTGACTTTGCTTCCATCTATGAGTTGCGGGAGTCAATTGCTGAATTTCTGACAGCTAAAAGCAATGCAGTAACCCCTCTTGATCCTAATAAGGTAAACATAGAGGATCTAAACATTAGCAATTACTATAGACATATTCTGTGCTCTAAAGGGAGATTATTTTACAAATGTTACATTAGTGCATGAATGTAAAAATATAAAAATTTTAGAAATAACATTTTTTTTTTAAATTGAATAATTAGTAAAAAATATATGTAAATATATATGTAAAAATAAATATATGTAAATGTATGGAAATAAGTACTGCTTAAAATAGCAGGGGGTCATCTTATATGCGCAACACGTACAAAATTTTTTATTTTTAAATGATGTTCGGCTTACGATTGTATGTAACGCAATAAATGAAGCTACTTGGTATGAATGAACGCACTTAATGCGGGGAAATAAGATTTGGATGAATGTTTAAAAACCCATAAAATGGTATTATTTGGAAGATTGGCTCTACACTTGGCTCTGTTTTTAGCCAGCTAGATGCAATATCAAGACCATAAAAACACCAAAAAGTACAAATTCCGAGGATGAAACAGGAGGTTGTCTTATACATCCCACCTACAAAAATCGTCCAAAAATCTTCTTAAACTCTTGGGTCATCTTATATGCGAGTATAATATGCAGTATTGTTGAAATAAAGTGATGTAAATAGTAATGTCAAAAATAATGCTATATATAACAGATATGGAAGTAAATAACATGTAAAGAATAACATCTTAATAATATATATATTAAATATGCCTAATAATAGTGCATAAATAATATGTACAGTGCATAAATAATATTGGGATAATATGTAAATAATATTGCTATTTTCCATGATTTTATGTATAGATGGTGGTTATGAATGGATGTGGTTCGGTTATAGAAACAATTGCATTTGCCATCTGTGATGCAGGAGGTTAGGTTCTTTTCTCATTCAACAGTAATTACCAAAGTTAATGCTCAATAAATCAAGTATCACTTTTCCTACATAATTTATTAAAACATATCGCAAGTGTTTGTTTTGAAGTGTGTGACACAGTGGTAAGTTATTATAATAGATTAGGATGAGAATTAATTTTAATAAAACCTTTTTGACCCATCCAAAAATTGATTCCCAAACAATTATAGGGTCTATGAAAAATATTATAGAAATTTTTTTTTATACATCTGTTAATTAACAAGATTTTCAATAAAACCTAATAGATTTACATAATAAAACTTCAAAGAACATCACATAGTATATTTTTAATAGGAATAGTACCCTTACAGTTATTATATTACCGGTAATAATAAAGCTTTTTTTCTCTGCTCGTATTCAATTATATTTGTTCAACGTTAAAATTACAACATATACTGGTATACCCTATAATTTGACCAAAAATAGCCACGAAAATATAATGTAAAGTAGTCTTTTGATATGGAATGTGTATCACCCAATATCTATCATCAATGTTATCAGAAAATTTCATTACACATTTACAATTTAAAAATCTAAACAAATAACATCAAACCATTTGCATTAACTAGGAACAACATTGCAATTAGAATTATTTATTGACACATTTGTCCTTTATATACAAGGCTTGAATATACTATAGGCATCGGAATGTAATGGTTTTCATATCATTTATTGTTTATGTTTTTAAAGACGCATTTATGACACCAAGTCCATACTATGGGGGCATAATGCAAGACTCAATTCTCAGAGCTAAAGTCAACATCCATCCAGTCCATCTCCACTCAGAGGTAAGCTGTAAGAGTGTAAACCAGAGTGTTTGCCCAAACTTTTTGAAAAAATAAAAGAGGAGGCCGTTTTTTTATATCTTTTATTTCATTTGATTTAGTTTGTCAAATTTATATAGCCTATCCAGACTATCACATTTTATTTGACAAGAACATGTGTCATTCCTAAATGTGGTCATCACATCATATAATGTATAAGCATTTCATGACTATATAAGGGCATACAAGCAGTTTTTTTGTCAAAGAAAATTTGGTAGTCTGAAATGTTTTTGGAATAGGAATATTACCACTATTAGGATACAGCAATAAAGAAGGATTACAATGCTTGAGGGAGGGGGACGACTAAGGCCGTGTTTCCGCAGCACTTATAATTTCTCCGATAAATTATCTTAAAATTACCTCCAACTATTTTATCCCATCATGCAACATTATGGACAACAATGCAATGTGTTCAAAATCAAAACATCCGTTTTGTTGACCCAGCAGGTGACCGTTTTTGCGCAAGGTGGATAGGCCAAGGCAAACAATGAAATCGTTTGGTACTATTTCACTCTGGGAAATATACAGTCACAATGATGTTTTATTGTAGTTCTATATAGGAATTGAGAAGATGAAAAAGATTGCTGGCTTTGTTTGGTGTGCTTTATGGTACAATAAACGATAGGTAGGGGACTTACACCTAGAGGCCCAGCTAGGCTAGGTACCATCAACGTCAAGCGCAAACTTTCAGGCTTTTTTTAAATATTATTTAATAAGCATTTTTTTAAATATTATTTAATAAGCATGAAAAACAAGTTTTTGATTTTTTTTTTGTTTTTTTTTTTAAACCATTTGAATAAAAACGGAGTACTTACTCGGACGTTTTGAATCGTATCACAATTCTTTTCAACTGACTGAAATAGGTGTTACACTTCAGTGGACATGACATCATCAGTTGGTTGATGACGTCGTCGTCAGTATTTATATACAGTGCTTTCTATTTATCTTAAGGCATTCTATTCATATAATATTTGATGAAATATACCTGACGAGTGTGTTTAAAGAAGGTGTCCAGCCTACTAGCATCCTTCAATTCAAACCAGAAGATATTCCAGACCCTGAGAGAACCCATCTGATATGGGGCTTTAGTAAGGTAATACAGGATTGCAATTGTTATTTCTCACTGCGCTCCAAGACTCGTCAGCCGACACAATTCTGTAGAAGACACAACGCAGATGTGTATAAGAGACAGAAATAGGTGTTACACTTCAGTGGACATGACATCATCAGTTAGTTGATGACGTCGTCGTACCTTCTCCAATGCTTGGAGATGGTGCGGGGCCGGGTAAGGTGAAATCATCATGAGATCATTGTAGATATTTGGGAGATCATGGGCGCCTTGGTCTCTGTTCATGGTGTTTTCTTTTTGTCTTTATATTGCTTCTCTAATACGCCATTTCTTCTGATGTTGCTCTTTGTCCAATATGCTGGCATCCTAATTTAGTACATGATTATGTTGTGTGTGCATGGTCTGTGATGGTGAACTTGTGTTGAATTGATGATCCGGAAGCCCTGGTCATGACCCCACTTGTGTGTTTGTTGGCATCTTTTATTGCGGTCGTGAACACCATCTCCAAACATCGGAGAACATATGACGACGATATCATCTACCAACTGATGATGTCATGACCATTGAAGAGTTATTGCTTCAACATCTATACTCTTTCATTCTGTGACCCTATCCCTCTCTATTGATGAGGTCATCATTACTCACCCACTTGACTTCCTCTACATAATGGTTGTATATTGTATAATGAACTTACATATTCATAGCCTTTATGTGTTCCTAGAAAATGGCATCATTAATTATTTATGGTATTAATAATGATTAATTTTTTGAGTAAAGCCTTGATTATCAGTCAAAATTTATTATGCTTTTTACCCATTAAAAATCTCATCTGTTTTATTTTGAGACTGTTTTGAGTTTTGTTTATACATTATTTTAAGTGTATTATAATTGTAAATAGTAGAGGAGGAGGTACACTTCTTCACTTAACCTTAAGCTGCCCCTATGTTTTAACATTTCCATTACAGATAAAAGAAAATGAAACAAAACCATATCAACTAACAGTTGAAAAACTTGAGAAAAGTTTAGAAGAAGCAAAAGCAAAGGTAAGTTAATTTCGGCTCTGCCGTCTAAGCACAAATTGTCCCACTTCATAAATGTAGTTTTTTATATTTCATATGCTTTTGGTCCCTTGGCCTGAAGGGGATAGGTAAGGTATTTTGGTGAATAGGCCTTTGAAAGCTATACATGCCTGCTAACATTGAAGATTAAAAAAAAGACACTTTTCACAGTTTCCAAGTGGGTTGGGTGGGGGAATCCCCAATGACCCTCCCGGAAACTGAAAGCTTGTAGCACTGCATGGTGCTATTCAGTAGAGTAGGTTATCATGTTTTATGGCCTATATTTGATATGATTTACCACATTTCTTTGATAGTTTAGTAATCTACCTTATATTCTTTTTAATTTTTCAGGGGATAAATATCTGTGGACTGTTCCTCGTGAATCCTCATAACCCGCTAGGTGAAATATATTCAACAGAGTTGATCAAAGATTGTCTCCAGTTTTGTCATAAGTAAGTTATAGATAGCAGCTTTGCTTAGTCGGCTAAACTGGTTGTAGCTACTGTGTTTGTGCTGAACCATGGAGATCTCTGATCCCTGGTTCAATGCCCATCGCTGCTCTCCTTGTGTTTCGGCTGGATTCAAGTTGCGATTATACTAATAAAAAATGCTGTAGTAATAATACTGTAATAATACCATTATAATCATATTAATAAGACTGTAAAACAATTATAGGTAATATAATAATAGAGCTGAATTCAAGTTATGATAGCGCACCGTCTTTTGGATGAGACGTTTAAGCCGTTGATCCCGTATGCATTATGGGCCATGTGCACGTTAAAAAACGTAGAGCACTCTTTGTGAAAGAGTAGGGGATTGTCTTCAGGTGTACTGCCCACTCACCACCAGAAGGAACACACTGGAACTAAGTCTTCTTCAGACTCATGGGTTATCCTTGGTGTTTACACCGAATAAATCTCTCCGAGTACTCAAGCCAAACTTCATTTCTAAAGAATATATATTAGCTGTTAAATATGCATTTAATTTCTCTGATAGTGGAGTTATTTTTAGTCAGGGAAAATCCAGCTGTCACAGGAATGGAAACCAGTCCCCATCATAACAACCAATATTCAACTCCACTAGATATGCATGTTCATACATATTTATATACAGTGCTTTCTATTTATCTTAAGGCATTCTATTCATATAATATTTGATGAAATATACCTGACGAGTGTGTTTAAAGAAGGTGTCCAGCCTACTAGCATCCTTCAATTCAAACCAGAAGATATTCCAGACCCTGAGAGAACCCATCTGATATGGGGCTTTAGTAAGGTAATACAGGATTCCAATTGTTATCTCTAAGGTAGATTATGATGATAATTATAATTTATATGATACCTGAATATAATAGGATAGGAGTATATTCGGTGTGAATCACACCAAGGAAAACCCACTGAGTCTGGAGACTCATTTCCAGTGGTGTCCTTCAGGTGGTGAATTGGGCAGTAAACCAGGAGACAATTCTCTACTCCTTTCTGAATAGTGTACTGCATTCTTTAACGTGCACATGGGCCATAATGTACATGGGACCAATGGCTTAAACGTCTCATCCGAAAGACAGAGCTCTGTTGTGACTTGCATTTCAGCCCTCCAGCTGAAATACAAGGAGAGCAGCAATGGAATCCAAAATGTTTTCACCGTCCAACGCGCACACACAGTGGCTACCAACAGTTTAGCCATCTGAGCTAAGCTCAAAATGCACGCCATTGTGTCGGGATCCAGTATTTCGAGATTACTTATGTCATCATCAGGAATGATTCCTGAGTTAAGCTCCTTTCATTGATTATTGGTTTAGGCTGTGTTCTCTTTTTACATAGGACTTTGCAATGTCTGGGATGCGTGTCGGTATCTATTATGGGTTTTCTGATGTCGTTCGTCAGCAGATCGTGAATCAGTGTTGCTTCACAGGGATTCCTGGATTTATTCAGGTGATGTTGTCCAAAATGCTGAAAGACAAGGGTAGGTCAATATAACAATGAACTTTAATTGTTGAAATTCATATAACTCGCAGCCTGAATCACATGTACTAATGAACTTTGAACAAACAGGACACTTCATAGGACAAGAGAGTTATGAGTAAACATAACATTTACACTTTATTTGACTAGTGTGCAATTGTGCACACATTGTGTGCATGTTTGTTTTAGGCTTCGCTTCCTTACCCTTTAGTATGTTAAAATCCGATTCTGATTATTGTCTGTCTAAATGTTCTAATACTGCAAAACTGGAACTCAGCTGCTGAATGCGTTAAGTAAACACGTGTCTAGCAAAAAAGAAATGGTAAAAGTCACTATTTTTTTGTCAATCTAAAATATGGATTGATATTCAACCATGTCTGCAAAAATTAGATATTCTATTTTGGTAGAATATTTGAGACCATAATGTGTTTATTGAGTGCATTGGTTTTGCATTGCGTC